ACATTTAGACTGAGTTGAACTTGGTACTTAAAGGGGCTGATGTCCATGTAGTTTAAATTCCAAATGACACCATTTATCTTTTCACAGTAGCATTCAATGGATTCTTATAGCATTTTCCAGAAATTATTAATTAATCAAATAGTATTAACCTCTGAACTAACTGATGATTTTACTTTCTATCACAGTTTAGAAATCATTCTTTGTGAAAGAATACATAATCCCTCACCATGTTCAACGTTTTGAGTTCTCTGTAAATTTATAGCATTGATTATATCTATTCTGAATCTCTGTATTACTCATTTTGTGCTATGTTGGATTACTCTGGCATGTAAATATCTGCCTGGGAAAGAAGATAACAAGACATCAACACTTAACAATTTCATCCTAGTGGAACCATTGAAAGCACTGGTCTTTGTCCATTAACTTGTTAACATCACTTTGTTTATGCAAAAAAAGACAGAAGTTTGGACTCTGTACATCTCAGGAGATTTATGAATGGAAACTCCCCCAGCCCTCTGTGGAAATATTTAGCAAAACTGGAAAAGGTAGACAGGAGATAAGACAGTAAAATCCATTTTAAAATCCTAGATAATATTCAAATTATTATCTTTTGGATTACAGAAGTTAAAACAGTGTCTTTTGTGTGAGGAAAATGGAAAAAGATAGCACTGCAACAACAGCAACAAAAACTATGCTTCTTATTTTGCAAATAAAAACTACTGACACTGGAGTTTAACATGCCAAGATAATGATCTATCATGCTATCTTTGTAACGCAGTATTAAAGGTGTCAACTTTTCTACCTGTTATTGATTTTCCACTATGAAAATATTGATCCACTCTTCCAGTATCTTTTTTCATTGTCCATTTTTTTAGCAGCTAAATATCCTGACAGAATAGCTCTAAAAATACTGAGTAATGATTATTTCATCATGTCATATCACTGGCTGTTAAATCAAGAGGTTAAATCAAGAAAAAGAAAAGTGTTATTTTATATTCCTTTTATTAATCCATAGGTTATGTCTCTGTTCCATATAAGTATCAAGCTTCAAAGGTACCTCTATCAGTATCTATATTTTATACATTCTCATTGACAGCTCACCCAGGATAGTACATCTCAGCTTTGCTTCTTATGGCCAAACTAACATTGTAAAAGCATGAAACCCCTTATAACACAAAGGTACCACCATCAGGAAACCATATAAACAATCAACTTGAATCTTAATAGGGCTTGATTAATATAAAATATTGTGTTAGTGTGGCTGAATGTTGTTATCTTACACAGTCAACAGAAAAATACTAATGACCTTCAGAGATAAGGCAAACAGTGGGGTAGACAGATAAATACAGGAAGATTAAAAGTTGTTAAACTGTGCATAAAGATTTCAGCTACAAAGGTAGAAACCAGAGAAAAAGTAGATTTATTTAGGCCTCAGTTGTGAAGGTGTGTCCTGGTGAAAAGCATAAATCTATAACAGACTTGATTATGTCAGAAGGTTTGCTTTTACAGATACTCCAAGTAAAAAAATCTTTTCTTTGTATAGCTCATACAGAAAACTACCTCCTGCCCTTCCAGTGACATAGAGGTAGTTTCACACATTTCAACTATACTGTACCAGCATTTTTTTTTTCCTCATGATGATCAGAGTAAATATTAAAATATTTGTAATGTTTCTAGAACAAATAGAAAAAAATAAGTGAACTAGTATCAGCCCAAACAGCAAAAACACATCTTTCTCACAGATGTTTGTCATCTCCTTACAGAATAATGTTCTACCCAGTAGTGCATGTTCATAATTCTAATAATTAATAATGCAAATCAAATATTTCTGTCTATTATGTACTTAGGGCTCCCCTTCATCCCCCAATTCTTCTCAAACAAGAATTCATGTCATACACCTTTTAAGCTTGTCCAGACCTGCTGCTTTGAGGCACTTATTTCTAAGGCAGACGTCTGTAATCTTTCCTCCAGCTTGAAGAAAGTGGATAATAATTTTCCTGCTAGTCTTTAAAATATAAGACAAATTTACTGCTAATTTCCTTTTTTAAAGGAATAAGTAAGAGTTGAGTTGACATCTAGTGTAAGATGTTAAGGCTCTTTCTTGCGTTGCATGGATGCAGAATTACTGGGGAAAGAACATGCCAGCCCCTCTTTTAAGCTCTCATAAAAAGGAATCAAAAGAAGGGATGCATTTGGGAAAGCCAGGAACAAGATATTCCCAAGAGAACACAGCTTTCCTCCCAGCTAAATGGATTCATCAAGTTCACTATTTTTGTGCATTCTTTGAAAAATGGCAAAAACTTTCAAAAACAGATGCTGGGTCACAAATACTGTTTGAAACCAAATAAGGGACCTGTGCACTAGAAGAACATGAACTGAACACATTTACTGGTAGCTTCAATAAGACAAATGAATATGACTCCATAATGGAAACAATACTGGGATGATTAAATAGAATCATAAGCAATCAAACTAATCAAAGCATCATGACTCACTGCTTGGTACTTGCTAGTGACATCAGTCTCAATTGTATTGCATACAGGTTCAAATAAGGGCATAATAGCTGGAAAATATGTTTGCATTTTCAAAAATTTGAATCACATGAAAACCCATAGTCATGAGTACCACACAACTCTCAAACTCCAAATAAGCTAATATGTTTTTGGTTTTGTTTTTTTTCTTTTTCTTTTTTTCCCTTTGAATAAGCTATCAGTTTGAAAGTACTGAGGCTGAGGAAATCCAACTGTATTTAAAAAGGAGTTCT